GTGACAGGTGGAGAAGCAATGAGAACAAAATGCAGGGAGTTGTGTTTAGAAATAAGATTTAAAAATAGTCATATTTTCCTGTGAGGGTGTCCAGACACTGGTCCAGGTTGTCTAGAGAGGGTGTGGAGTCTTTCTCCTTGAAGATATTTGAAAGCCAATTGATGTGGTCCTGGGAAACTGGATGTAGGTGGCCCTGCTTGAGCAGGGGTTGGCCAAGGTGACCTCCAGAGGTCACTTCCAACCTCAGCCATCCTGGGATGCTGTGAATAAAAGATTGTACACCCTGTGCTGAAGGTGCCACGCTCTTTAATGACAGAGAAAATTGTGTGAGGTTTGCTCCTGGCAAGGTAGCTCATTATCTTCAGGAGTGCTAAGGTTACTATAGGAACCTAAAGGTTTTAGTGGGACTAAATGTGATAAATATACAGTGTGAGCAACATAAAGCTGCATGTTTTTTATTTATGCATCAATATCAAAATTGGTCTGTGTTAACGCTTCTTCGAATCCTACTAAATTACATCCTTTAAAATTAATTAGGCCTCTTTCTTTGCAAATCCTATTGAGGAGAGGGATAGGCCATAATGACAATTGTCTGAAAATAATAGTTGAGAATGATCCACTCACCCTTTTCCATGTGGTGGTGGAGCACTGTAGTGGAGCAATTCCTGTGCTTTGGAAATTCCACAAAACCAAAATTTTTCCTGCTTGTGTCCATCAAAAATTTCTCAGAAATTTTCTCATTCATCTAGAAGTCTAGTCCTAGATTTCTGCTGAAAGACACCCAAAATTGTGTCTGTGTTAAATCTAAGCAACCATGCTGTTAATTTGAGCTCTGTTGTGGGTGAAAGCTGCTATACATATGCAAAAGCATCATTGCTCTGAAAATTGGTTCTTTACCTGCTGGAAGCAGACTTCCTGTGGGTTTTTCTATTTAAAACAGAAAACAGCTGCTCTGCAAATCCTTGCAAGTGTCAGCAGTTTCCATGCATTAAACTTTTCTCACTTCCTGGGAAGATGATGGGATTCACTTTCTGGAAGCCAAAGAGAAAGTAATCATCTTCCTGTATCCCAGGGCTGCTCTGGATCATCCAACTATAGCCACTGAAGACAGTGAAAATTCACCTTTACTGCAAGAGACCTGCAAGACTTTCTTGAGTGAGTGGTTGTAAGAAATGGATAGGAACTTTCTACCAGCCCTTGCACCACATATTAGCAACAGATATTTGAAATTCATTTGGTAGAAGGCAGGAACTGCTTGGGGTGAGTGTCCTGAATGTGCCCCATGAAATCCCTAATATTTCTAGGCATGGCGAAGACTCTGTGGAGACTGGCAGCACTGGTCATTTTCAGCTGAAAAATGCTTTCTGCAGCTGGATATTTTCAGGACACCTTGCAACAGGCAGAGAAAATTTTCCTAGGAACCCGGGGATGTGAGTCCATAGAGCCTTTCCAAGTGGTTGGTGTGAGTGGAGGTCTTGGTATTGTTAAATATTCTCTGGGTTTAGTGCTGCTCCAGGCTGCCACACATGGAAAATGCACCCAGAGTTTCATCCCTGGCACTGCAACATCTCCTGCCTTGTCACACCCTGGATGTCATTAGGGAAGTATTAAAACATATCTTTGTGTGTAAAATTGTCAACTTAGCTCATCTCTCGAAAGGTTTTGAATTCTGGACAGCAAAACCAATTAAAATTAAAGGAAAATATTACAGGTGGGTTTTTTTTAATACTGAATTTTAGTTTCAAATAGGCACACACTATGTGCCTATGTACTGTCAGAAGAGAGGAGGTTTCTCTAGATTAATTCAGGTGTCTATTAAGAAAAACTTCAGTCCACCTCAGCTTTTCTGGGATATTGCTTATAACCCACCAGTTATTGAATATGACCAGAGTGTCTTCTGTTCTTAGGGAGATGTAATTTAATTCCTTTGTATTGCAGCTACTACTAGGACTCAAAAGCAGCTGTTAGATCCTGCAAAGGGGCCTTTGATACACAAGCAAAAGGAAGTGAAGTATTGATTATAATTTTGATGAAGTTTCCATGTTGTCTTCTCTTTTCAGTTGCTCATGCATAGTGTAAATTACTAATTTCTGAAATTTGCCTCTCATCGTGTTGCAATTGCATCAGTTTGACCACAGGCAGTGCTGCAGAAAATATTGAAGAAAGGGCAAATGTGGACAGCAGCAAAAAATTTTATTATCAGAGACATGAATATGTAGGAAAAACTCTGTGTGAGCCAGTCTTGGTGCTTCTCACTTGGTGCTTAGTCAAATGCCTTAGCTGGGTGAGGAAAAACTACATCCAAAAATCACAGCATGACTTGTGCATTTTATGAGGAAGCACAGTGACCCTGAGTGTATTTTCCACATAGATTTATCACTCACATGGTCACCTGGCAGCTCTGCAGAGATACAAAGTGAGGGATTGCATCTTTCCAGTGGTGGGAAAGAAAAAAAAAGGCAAATTACAAGTTGTTTTAGGAAAAGTGTTTGTGCCCAAGTAAGTTTGGAAAGTGTGGAATTGCTCCAATTCACCATCTTATTAAAGGGATTTTAGCTTTTGCGTGGTAAATATTGCTTCCATTTTTGAAACTGGCAGTAACATTGTCCTGGTTTTGGTGTGCTGCTGTGCATTTTGAGCGTTCCTAATCATCTCTTCGGGTGGGGTTTCAACTTGATCTGCTTCAGCTGTTAAAATGGGAGATCAAACAGAATTTTGAAGGCCAGGATCACTTAAAAAAAACCCAAAAAAACCAACAAAACACAAGAAAACCTTGTCCATATTGCATGTTCAGGTGCTGTAGTGATGGCTGGTGCTGTGGTAGATGTTTAAACTTCAGCACACTTAGCTAAAACTGTGTCTTTTGTTAAAAACATTCTTCCTCTAAAACTGCCTTACACTGTGCATTCTAGGATGGAACAGAAGTTGGAGGAAAAGCTATTAAATCATTGCAGGGGGGCAGCATTGTTTGCTGCACTGAAGTTTTTAGCTCTAATTTGAGTTAAATTTCAATTTCCCTTACCATGGGGTTTCGGCTGCACCCCTTGGGAGATTATTTCACAGTACAATAACTCTGCTGTGATGTTTTGTTGATATCTGGCCTAAATCTTCCCTCTTAATTTCATCCCATTTTTTGCTGTTATAGCCCTAGCTATCACACTAAACAATCCCCCTTTTTCCTAAGTGGTTGGCTCATCAAATATTTCTGGACAACTACTTTCCCCCTTAGTTCAGTTGTTGCTTAGTTAGTATCTAATCTTAACATTTCTGTGAGGATTTATGTTTAAGCTTTCTGTGGTTGGTTTTTCTTTTTCCTTTAAAAAATTATTTTTCTGCCATCCCTGGCACCCTTATTTGTGAACAGCCGTTTCTGAGAGCTTCAGAGCATTAGCATTAGCTGGCCATAGGTTCACCTGCTCTATTTTTGTAGCCCTGCCATGCCCCCATTTGGGTTTCTTTTTCTCAGAATAACTGCTTTCCAAATGTTTCTTTATTATTTCAGTCCTGATTTTTTTTCTTCTTAGGAAATTCAGGAAATGCACGCAATTAAATGACAAAGTGTTTGTTGAATCTTGTACTTTTTGGTTTTTCTGATGTCTAGCTATAACATGGATGAATAAATTAACATTTGCCACTTTGCTGTTCTTCAGACTGCTGAAATACTGCTTAGGATTCTCCCAGCAGTTGAGACAGTAAATAAAACAGACTTGTGATGTGCCACTAGATTGGTAAAATAAGGACTATGTGGTTGTGAAAACTGCCTTGAAAATATCAGTGAGACTGATACATTTTAATCTCTCCAAATAACTCCCCTGTAGAAAACTGTGCCTTTTGGAAGAATGGGAACACAATTGAGTCTGTGAATATAATTAATAGAAGACTCACATCCCTTGTGGGTTCATATAAAATGACTCTTTAGGAATTTTTTTTGTGAATCTAGCAATATTTCTTCTGTTGCTAGAGGAAGTTAATGATGTAAGAGTCTCAGCTTTCATTTTTAAAAGGATTTGTCTTTCAGGCTTAATTGACTGCTGAGGAAAGTAGAAAATATGACTCTGGAGTTTCCAGAAATGCAGATAAGATAAAGATGACTGAAACCTTTTTTCTCTTTTAATTTACTGCTGCTTAAGAAAGTTTCACATCATTTAGATTGACCTAAATTCTTCCATGTGACTTCACAATTATGGGAGTATTTGGGTCCTCTTCTAGCTTGGCTTAGAAGTAGGCAAGTGGCTCCATGTCCTTGTAAGGTGTGACCCTCTTTAGTCACAAATCATGACAAATTTCTGTGCTGAAAGCAAAAGTACTCAAGCAGGAGACACTGTTTTGCCCCAACAAAACTTCCTGACTTATTTACCAGGATGCATTCCTGCTCCTCACTCAGACTCATCAGGCTCCTTCCTGGTATTTCCCTGTTATTTCTCAACACAATTCCTTGAGTCAGATGGGGATAGGAAGCACTTAAAATGGTCACCACGATGGGATGACAGCAGGATGATTTTAGGCAGGTTTGTGGCTCAGCGTGTCCTACATCTGATGTGCTCTATCCTTTCTGTGCCATGAAAGTCTCACACATTTTCATTTGTTGGATCAGTTTCCTCCCTCTCTTTTGCCTCTGGGATGAATCCTCTCTTTTGCCATGGCAAATTTTTCCTGGCATTCAGACTAAGCGAATAACTAAACAGTTTAGTAGGCTGGAAGAATATGTGTTTTCATCTTTATGTAACCCATTTGAATATACACTATCTTTTTATAAGATGTTTTATCCTGAGTGATAAAAAGAAGTATGAAAAATGGTGGGAAAAAAGAGATGAAACTGAAAGGAAATGATTTGCACATTCACAAGATTGTGGCATATAATGTTCCTATAATGTAAACATTCTTTGGCACACTATTGTGTGTTTTACACACAAATTGCAGCTTGTATGTTTGGCTTTTTTTGCAGTACTAACTGGGTGATATAATTGTTCCATTAGTAAAAAGCTGTGGTGTTTTTCTAGGGAAAAGTTTTTAAGACCATCTACAGCAGCTTGTGTCGTGCATTGCAATTTTCTCAGCTACGTGATGGACTTTGTGCAGCTTTTAAAGGACAACATGTCATGGTACAGAAAATTCTCTCAGTCTGTGATTAGGAGATGACTGAATTCCCAGAGCATGAGCCACACTTAGGGCTGTCACCTTCCACTTGTGAAGCTACAGGAAAAAAGACCTGGTGTAGTCATGATCCAGTTCAAAAGGCACAGGAAGCCACACATCAAAACTGTTGATTTTTATATCAGCAACATTTTTACTATATCAATCTTTTCTGTTATCAGATGTGCTCATCTTTCCCCAATTGCGTTATTTGTTGTTTATTGAAACAGTTTGTTGCCCTGCCGTATCCTCAGTTGTTTTTTTTTCCTCAGAATAACTGCTTTCCAAATATTTTGTTATTATTTCGGGTCTGAATTTTTTTCTTTTCAGGAAATTCAGGATGTACACACAATTAAATAAGTGTTAGCTAAATCTCATGCTTTTTGGTTTTTCTGATGTTTTGCTATGACATGGATGAATAAATTAACATTTGCCACTTTAGTGTTCTTCAGGACTGCTGAAAGACTGTTCAGGATTCTCACATCAGTTGAGATAGTATTTGGTGGCTGAGTAGAACTGAAGCTTTGTGCACCTGTCAATTACAGTAGTCAGATAAGTGGTTTCAACCTGGACAGGTTTGGACAGATTAATTATTGAAGAGTTGGCTTCTCCATCTATGTTGGACAGCAGATGCTAATAGAATGGTAACAGCATGAAATGATGATCATAAATATCTGTATAAAAAAACCCAGGTTTTCAAAGAGCTTTTTAAAACAGAGATAGGAGGACACCACTAAAAATATTATAAGAATATCTGTAGAAAAGCCCCAGAAGACTAAGAAACTATAAACTCATAAAGCTAATAGAAGAGCAACCATTGTTAATAGTAAAGTTTATTAATAGGAAAAAAAAATAAGGGAATGGCTAAGGAAATGACCCAAAAGCATAGGCCTGAATCTTGGAAATTAAGCATTTAATAAATGGTGAACTTGTTCCATGAAACAGTATTTGAAAATTAACAGTGAATTGAGATAGGCATTGAAATTTGAGGATTCTGTTAAAAATACATGTGCCACAGGACCCCAGTATCATGAAGAATTCTGGTTTTGGGTCTCTATTACTCCTCAGGTACAACTGGTGACAGTAAAACACACATGCATGGAAATGCACTTCTACTGTTACAAGACAATGTTGGAAATGCTCCAGGTTTATGCTGGTTTTTGTGTTTTGTACAATCACCACAGGATCTGAGGTCCTGATCACTCCTGGAAAAGGTGCTGTCCATCTCCAATATCACTGCCTGGTGCATCCCTGCTGGGGCATTTTTGGCAAAAAACCCCCACATTTTTGTGCTTCAAACAGGCCAGTCTGTTTTAGGGCTTTGATCTGTGCATCAAAACTCCCTGCAAACACTTCTCTTCCCCATTATTGTGAAGTTACCTCAGTTACTGAGACGACCAGAAACCCCTTTGTGTGAGGAGCTCTGGGGGCTGTAATTTGTGCTGGCACCTGCAGGGCTAGAAACAGAACAGATCTTCTGATTAAAACATGGATAGTTGTGTGGTTGTGGGAATGGCAGCTACTTGCACAGATGGGTAAAGCAGGGACACCACAAAATAAAGAGATTAAGCTGCAAACAGTGAGGGGGTTATGTATGAAATCCTAATAAATATTCATATCATAACTGAAATGACTGCTGACACTGAGTGCTAATCCTTCTGCAAATAACAATTAGCACAGAGGTTGTATAATGGGTGCTGATTTGCACACAGTAGCAAGAGCTAAGAAATATCCTGGTTAAACAAAGGCTTTTGCATCTGCAGAGAAATCCTGCACTGTGAATCAGATTGCAAAATGATGAATGACATGGCAGTTTCTGACCAGGTGCAAATGTGAACAGTCCTGCTAAGTATTATCTAAGAAATTGTTTGTTATCTAAGTATTATCTGTTATCTAAATACCTGTACAGAAACCACCAGTAAGAACACACTGCTACAGGATTCAACTCACTCACTGAATTCAGCTGTAATGGAAGTAGAATTATAGGAAGAGGAATTCAATTTTCTTGCTTACCTCAAGAGATGTTTGGGAATGAGAAATATGGCATTTTTAAACAAAATCTGGTGCAGAAATAACAATTATTAATGTGCAGTGTACGGTTTGTGCAGGAAGCTGGGTATGTGTGGTGGTTTTACACACCAGAGCCACTCAATCAGCTCCTGAACAAATATAACCATTAACTAAAATTCCATAGATATTGCAGATTTTGATGATTTTTTCCCTCTAAAAAAAATTCCAAAAGATCTGTGCAGATCAGCTCCTAAATGATTTTGAGGAGTTATACAGGTGGTGTGCAGTACTTACTGTTACTCATGGAGCTGGTGTGGAAAATGAAGCTGAAGCCCCATGCAATGTGCTCCATTATGAAGACACACTTTTAGGTTGGCAGTTGTAGGTGGAGCAGATCCTTTGGAACAGGTCTAAATCTGAGAGAGATTGACCCAAAGGGCCCTTGGTGTGTCCTGTGTCACACGGTTACCAAAAAAAGGAGATAAGGAGTGTAAGAAAGACAGAAAATGTCAAGTGCTGTGCTTCCCTCTGAAGAACACATCAGTTTAGTGGCTCATCTGAATCATCATGCTTCATAGCCATGGAGGGATGAGATCTCTTCTCCATAGACTTATTTAATCCCTTTTGGAGCCCTCTTCAATATTTACAGTGTCTGCAGCTGGTATCTCAAGCACTTGAGCATGTTTGGTTTTAAGTCTTTCATTTATTTCCCCTGGCTTTTTTTTTTCCTTCTTTTTTTCAGTGAGTCCACAGGTGAGTTAAACCAGTTGTGCAGTTTGTGCATAAATTAGTTAAAACACCGAGGAATCAACATATTAATGTATTTGAGTGATTCACTTGAGTCTATGCGTGCTGTAAGGAAAGGAAAAAACCTTGTTTTCTTTAGAGAAAGATCTGTACAAACAGACATTAATTCTGTCATCTTCCCTTCCTTCTGCTCCCTGCCAGCTCCCTGTGCAGTTCTGGTACCTCTCCTGACCCTGTGAAATTAGTCTAATTATCAGTTAATGATTGAAACTGACAGTTCAATACACGTGTTCTGACGTGCTGCAGACTGCTAATTTTTAGCAGCATGGAATCAGTGCACAAGGAAAATTTGACAACAAAATAGAAACATGCTGAGAAGTTATTGGGCCGTGAGAAGTGAAGTTTTGAGGCAACTGAAACTTATTCCTTTGAAACTGGCTATGTTTCCCACTAAACCAGGGAAAGGTAAAACTGAAATTGGTCATTTTAATCTATTTTTTAAAAATTAACAGGATGTATCATTAGGTAATTAGGTATTACTTACAAAAAAGAGAAGAGAGATATAATATCATCATATCAGGCAGCTTTTCCAGTGTCAGATATAAGAGAGCCAGGTTTGTACCTCCCACCAACAAAATTAGGGTCTCAGAGTAGCTTTTCTACTCCCAGCTTGAGCTGTGAATTTAGAACTGTTGTCAGGCTGTGAATCAATTTTAAATGCAACTTCTGGCATTAAATCAGCATCAAACATGGGCATTATGTGTTATTTTAGTGTGGGCCATTAGTAGTCATACTACTTTACTTCCTGGATGAAAGAATTTTTGACAACTGATATGAAATTATGTTGTCTTCACCAACGGATTTTACAGAAATAAAAAGCCAGTGAATATTTTAAAAATCAACACATGACAAAATAGCTGGGAATTTTCATGTTCAATCTAAAGCTGTTCCCTGTTTCAGGTAGTTCCTAATAAAAAGGAATGCAAGGCCTTAATTAACTGGGTGCTACAAATGGATTTCTTACAGCCACATGCTTTTAAAAATCAGAAATCAAGATTTCAGATCTGTGTTTGACAAATTTTATTGTAAATTTTATGATCATGTTTTTATTAAATGTAAAGCTTGAGGAAAAAAAGGATATAGAATCTCAGACTTTTCTTTAAAAAATAAATTGATTCATTGCACTGTAAGCAAGTTAAATGCAATATTCATCCTATGCAGATGCTAAAAAATCCTTGAGATTTCATTTTCTGATCTGTGCAGAAAGTTGGGCACTTTGGAAATTCTTTAAAGAAATTCTCCAGGTAAAGGAGGATTCAGAGTAAGTCTCAAGTGTCACTTGCAAAGGCACAAGAAGGAACCTCAAGGGACAGCCTGTTGGCCAAGTTAATTTCTAGGTATTGTTAACATAACTGCTTCTCCAGTAGTGGCTTGTATTAAATTGGATGTCTTTGATCCAAATGAAATAAAATAGGAAACACCACTTGGTAATTTCTATGTAAGAAATAAAAAGCTGAAAACCTTTTGCATACCAGTAAAAAAAAAAAAAATTTATATAAGTGACAATTTTTCAATCCTTCTGTTAGCCCAGAGCTTAAGCCAAGTTCTTTAAAAAAAATATATTAAAAATGTGCATGTCACAAATATGGTTCAACATTAAAGTGAATTTATACCAGGGAGTTGGTATGGAGCTATCTTAGAGGAAATTCTATGCCTTAAATCTTGGCTGGGGAAAACATGCTGTGTTTTAATGCTACCTGTGTAAATCAGAGCTGGGGGGAAATGTTTTGAATGACCTCTTGAAACAGAAGCTGCACTTCTGCTGTCTTTATGACACGAATTTATGACAACTGGTGTTAAAGGCTTCAAATCAGCAATGATACAAATATCCTCATTTCAACTTACCCAGACAAAGAACAAAACTGCCTAGATGTATTTAAACAAAAAAAAAAAGGCTGAAATTGCCTCAAGGAAGTTAATTTCAAGATAAGAGCAAAATGCTGAAGTCAAATTTGCTCTGTGCTATCAGTAGGGTTGAAGTCGTGTAGAGACATGAAGTAAAAAAATTGTTATTTCAAGAACTAATACCATAAGGAAAACAAAGCAGATATGAAAGTAATCTTTCAATCAGGAATTTTCTTTGCTGAGATGTATCACCTTATGCAGGCACACAGGAAGAGATTGCTCTTGCTAAAATATGATGATGTTTACAAATTACTGACTGGACATGACACAATATATCTGACAACTTCCAGGCAGAGTGTAAATGTGAAATATGATGTTGAGGCAGGCACACACTCATGGAAAGGACACTGCCCCTTTTCACTGCAGTGCCAAGAACGTGTTTAACTG